AACTCGTGCTGCCAAAATAGCGTCTCTTTGGCATTTTTTCCGCCTCGTGCTCGTTTTATTAGTTAAAGTAATACTACTACTATCTTAAATATTTAAAGTCATTTATGGATTGTTTTTCTTTTTAAATACTTGGAAGCTGAAAATTTGATCATCGATTGTATCTCAATTATCTTCAGTTAGTTGGTTCTCGAGTTTGTTCTTTTTTTTATGACCTTACTGATCTTTGGTAACTTTGACAGGGGTTTGGTTAAGTTTTCCATTATTTTTTTTATGGCTATTTGTTTTGGGTTTTCAAAAGCTATTTACCTGACTTCTGCTGTAAAGGCGTGTGTGTGCTTTTTTAGAGAACCTCAGCATAGAAGGCAAATGGCAGGCGAACTGAGGCTGAGGCGTTGCTTTTTCTGTTTGTTGATTACATAAAAAATGAAAATAATTATGTGTGTACAAATGGTGTGTGCGTGTGTGCGTGAGTGCCGGGGTGTTGGTGTTGAACTAAAACGCACACACACGTGAGCTGTGCCAACACACACTCACAACCAAGTTGTTAGCGCGATAAGATATAGCGACTATTAAAGCAACAACTAAACGTCGGCAATAGTGCGCAAAATGCAAACAAAAAAAAAAAAAAAAAAAAAAACAAAATAAACTTAAAAGTAGCAACAGGAGACGACAACTTTGTTGTTTCATCGCTGGTTGTTATACAACAGCAAAGGCGGAGAAAATAGAGCAACGCATGTGCATCAGAATTAGAATTGGAATTCGAATTGCAATTACAATGGGATTTAAAATAGAAGCAGCGCAAATAGCAGGTCAAAAGCAAGTTAGCAACGTGTTAATTTATAATATTAGATGGTCAATACATACAAATTAGAAGAACAGAGCTACATGATTTATTGCATTGTTTTTAAGATGAATGAATCCGAATCCAGATTATGAAAACCAAAATTTTTAGCTCAACGTTGATTAATTAATTTTTGGATTGGACTTCACGGCTATGTGTTTTTCAATTGAATTCTGGGGGAGCATAAACATTTTCCATTCGTAATTGTTTAGAGTACACCTGTTTCCCACTCTCTCATTCAGAATAATACGGAATGTTTTCCCAGCTGTTAGCACATGTTCACATGTTCGTTTTTCATTCAATGCTGAGCAAATGCAGTATGCAAATTATTCCAAAAACGAAAACGAAACAAATAATAATAATAACGTTGATCGTTAGCCAACAGCTCGAATACGTAACGCCATCCATCCGACTCGCTCCTATTTTCATCAATTATCAAATTCATCTATTTAACTAAATGTTTAACGAAAAAATAACGTGGCTTAGTTCTCTATATTATTTTTTATGATGTTTTCCTGCTCTCGACATGCACGAATGTGCTAATTAGTGGGAAACGTTTAACGTACACGAGTCTGTGTCAATTGGTTTTAGTTGCTTGATTGAAGGGCGACCCACTGTGCCTCTGATGCCCACTGTGCGAGTGTGTCAAACAAACAAATGAGGCGAACGGCAGCTCTCGAGCGCACAGTGTTTGTCGAAAGTCTTCATCCCGCTGCTAACCATCTGCCAGCACGCACTGTCCGCAAGTACAGTGGTCACTCGTTTTAAATGCCTTAATAGTAGTTTACATAGACAAACGTAAATAATGGGATTAAAAGGGTTCTGCCATATTTAGGGGTATTTTTTAATATATTTGAAAAGAACGTAATTCCACCTCAGAGATTCGACTATTTGCCTCTCAATAAATTTCCAGCTGTTTGCTATGATATATTGTAATTTGTGGATGGTGACACTTTGTTGGGAAGTGTGAATTGCCATTGTGGCTTCCATCGGAGAGTAATCAGCAATGTAATCGCGACTGGCACCCTCCATTTTTCCACCCAGGTTCCATATAGAAGCCACATCACGTATACGCCACCGATGCAGATCATCCTCACTGCTATCAGCGTTTTCGGTTTCTTCAGCGTTTTATTTTAGAGCGTCTTTTTTCCTACTGCCCACAAAAGGGTAAACAACAACTTCTGCTCTGTCAACACTTATTATTCATTATTATTATTTTAGCCCCTGCTTTTGTTGTATGCACATATTGTTTTTCCTCTTTTATTTTCGCGAGGGAAATGTACGCTTTGGCTATATTTAGTTGTATTAATTGCGGTTGACCCAATTTGTTGTTCTTGCACAGGCGACGCCTTGTGTAATTGCTTAGAGCAAAAACAAGAAAAAACACTAAATAAATAAGAAGAGCAAAAATAAAATCAACTAAACACAGCACAGCACAGCACAGCAGATAGTAAAATGCAGATGTGCACGAGGAGAAGCCAAAAAGAACACATGATGGGTTTATTTTGGTTGAGCGGCGACGAAATCAATTGAAATTGAAATTTTCAGGCGACCAAACGAAATCGACCAAAAGCAGCAAGCAGAAGGCAGCCAGCAGCAGAATAAAACCAAAATTGTCAGTTGGAAAGGTAGAGGTAGAGGTAGAGGAGTCCGTCGTTCGTTTGTCTCAGATGATCGAGGTGTTTTTCGTGCTAGTGGGGGGAAAATGAAGGGGGGTTTGGGGTCTGTTAGTTGGCCTGGCAACAGCGAAAAGACTTCAAATGCCAAAGCGACAGAAGCAGCAAACAAAATGTACTAGCAACATGCCTGCATAAATACATGGCTACATGGGGCATATTGGCGCATTGGGCACCACACAAAGTACATACAGCTCCAAAACGAAATAAGGAATCCCTATAAACGTTCGTATATTACGAATTAATTATTATTGTTTCATCTAAAAGGCAAGTTTGTTTTTTATAAGTGTGTCTATCAAAAACATTAGAAACGAGTTACTCAATTAATGAAAGCCCTTTGAAGGTTGTTAAGAAACCTATATTTCGTCGTGATAATATTATAAGAAGTTTCTACTTAACAAACCGCAACTGTCTTGATAGATGTGTGTATATATTTTATGTACATATAAATACTTGCCTTACATGCATGCATTTATATTTAGTTCTTTCTTTTGTTGTCTCTCCTACTGCAGTTTTCACCGTCTTCTTCTTCCCATTCCTTCAGTTTTGTGTGTTGATTTATTTTTAATGTTTTTTTTTTTTGGCGTACCCAAAAAGCCGGCAAACTTCATTTTTATTTGCTCTCTTTTTAAAGGCGTTTTTGCTCTTCAAGTAAAGCTCTCCGCGATTTTCTCTTTATAATTTTTTTTTTTGCGTTTTCATTTTCAATTTCGTTGTTGTGCGTGCGCCGTGGAATGGGGAAAAAATTGTATAAATTTATTTTTATTTTCAACAAATAAAGCATGATACATAAGCGGCCGCCGTTGTTCAATTTTCCGCTGCTATTGCTAAAATTAAATATGGTTAAACAGCAACACCAAAAGGCAACAAATATAAAACTAAAAACAACTCAAAAAAAAAAAACGATTGCACTGGGAGAAAGTGATGGTATAACACTTTGAGATTGCTTCAACGTAAAAAAAATTTTTGAAAGATGTAGACAAATGAAATATCTTGGCTTTTAAAAACTGCCTACAAGTTTATTACAGTGCGGCACTGCATTTGATTTTTTGGTTGGTATTGGAATTTGTGCGCTTGCTTATTTTTTTTTAGTGTGTGTGCGTTTGTGGCTTGGCTTCTTGTATTTCCTGCTCTATCGCTCTCCTCTTTGGCCCCCTTCTAGTCTCCTCCGCCTCTCTACACCCATTTTTTGTCGCACGTGTCGTATTAGTATTTTTTTGGCAAGCACAAAAATTGTTGGTATTATTATGCGTTAAATTGCCATTTAGAGTTTGTTTCTGCTATAAGGCAAACAAACAAATGTTTGAACAAATTTTAAAACTAACTGTAAATGTTTAGTTTTTTTTTTTACAATTATTTTAGTTGTAACTTTAATAAACGTCTCAACTTAAACTATAATTGTGTTTAATGCTTAAAATGTAGCTATGTATGAATGCTTTTCAATTATGACTTACGACATTTTATCTTTGACTCATTACATTTTCTTTAGATATATTTTTCTTGAACATTATAATGACGTATTGTATTTTGTAAAGCATACGTTGGTGTTGCCATTTTGTTTATTTATAAATATTAAGACGATTGTAACAAAAATACAGTCTTGTGAGTCACTTAGCTCACCCAAGAGAGGCAGAGATACGTTTAAAAGAGAGTTTGGCAGTAAAGAGAACTAGAGTTATTGTTTAAGCCTAGCCCAAACAGCTGTTTGTTGTGCCTCATTTTGGCTTATGTCTCTAGGTTTTGTTGTTGCCCCCAGATCCTTGCCAAAAGTTGTTTATGTTTATTAAGGCAAAAAACGAGAGCGAATGAATGGGTGGTAAAGCAATGGAAAGGAGGGTGGTGGGGAGGTAGGAAGAAAAGGGCTGCAGACAGAAAGAGACAAATAGCTAGCTGGCCTCCATAAGGCACAAATTTAAGCATTTGTTTTTGTTGTCAAACTATAGTTTTATTTCGCTGTTTTGTATTTGTATTTCTTCTGCTCACTTCAATAAATGGCAATGTCATGCGCGAACGCACAACACACATATAAATATATAGAGAGGTGTACAGTAGGCACGCGAGGAGGGGAAACTAAAAAATATATACTATCAGAAAACTTACCTTTAATATATTGAATCAATTTCGCTGTTCTTTTCTCGAAAAAATATGTTTTCTATATATTTCGGATTATTGAGGTTATGGGATTGAGTTTTTAAAATAAAGTTGTTAACCATACCATATGTATATATATATGTATTTATTATTTCACTGTACCTACTCACAAGCTTGTTTACGACGCTTTGACTTTGCTTTGGCTTTTATTTATTTTTATTTATTTTTTTCGCTTTGCCGGCTCTCTCTCGTTTCCGCACACAATGAAAGCTTTGTGTGATTTTTGCCAAAGAGAGAGTATGTGTGTGAGAGTGCGTGTGTGGGGGGGCGCGGTGGTGTGTGTGCTGGGAGAGTGTGTTGGTGGGGGTCGGTTTTTCAATTGCTGTGGCCGCCGCTTCGCTTCATTCGTTTGCCTGCTCGCGTGCTTTACGGTTCGAGATTAACGAGAAAATCTTGTAAAAAACCTTTTTAAAAAATCACACAAATTCCCAAAACTACATTCAAGAATTACTAAATTACAACCAAAAAGCCTTATACAATTGCTACAACATTCATTTTTTTTGCGTGCAAATAAAGCGACAACCAAGCTGCGAGAACACCTTGTATGGAGGTATGTGAATCAACACAAAATAAACATAAAAGCAAAATAAAAGACAACAAAATAATTAAAAGCGGGCCATAAAAATAAAAAATAACAAAGTGTGTGTTTGTTTGTTAGTGTTCGTGTGTGAGTTAAACAAAAATAATAATAAGGAATACAAATGGCAAACAAAGAGAAAAAGAGCAAGAGAGAGACGGCGAACCGCAGATTACAATTTGAATTTTAAATTGGTTTTTTTCCAATCAAGTATACTTTGCATTTTTCATCTTTTCCCCATTTAGCCATTTGTTTGATTTTGCGTAATGAGCAATTTTTCTATACATTCTCCGATTTCATAATCATGCCTTAAACTTAGCCACTAAATGTATAAAAATAACAACAACTAAAAAAAGACAAGAAAACCACGTTGAAATTTTGTTTTATTTCTCTCGTTCTCTTTTTGCAGCAGTCATTTCTCTTTGAGCATCTCTGTGGCCTCTCTTTTTGTGTGTAAAGCAGTTCTAACTGCTTTTCAACAGTAAAATCTCTTCAAATGAACAAAACAGATTATTTTAAGGAATTAAGGGAAATATGCGTTGCAAGTAAAATGTACTGTACTTTTTCAGAAGTGATTTTGTTAAGCTCGTTTTAAAAGGAACACAGGCCTCTTTTAATAAATAAAAAAGGTGACACACTAAAAAAAAGGTTCTCTTAATCTGTCCCCTTCTTCACTCTTTAACGCTTTCACGCACACACACGTGCAATGACATTTGTTTTTTTTTCTTGATTTTCAAAACGACGCGAAAAAGCTAACAATAAAACTAACAATAAATAGACAACAACAAAAGCGATCAACAGCAATTATAAACGCCAAAAGCGTTTCTCTAGCGGCCTTGTTGCGTTTTTCAGTGTGTACAAAAACAAAAAAATAGTACAGATACAACCGAAGCGTGTATATAGAAAACTTAACCAAACTTGTATAGATTTGTTGGCTTTTATTTATATTCATGCCTAGCATTCGTTTTATTTCTTCAACTTGTTTTTGGGGAATTTGCTTACCTAGCTTATTAAACTGAATTTTTCTAAAGCTTAAAGGAAAATATTTTTTAAGTTGTTTTTTTCTCCTTACCTATTTTTCATAAAACTTTGGTTTCTTTTATAATTTTTTTTTAAGTTATGTGTTGGTATTTTATTATTCTTTTCGATGATTTGACCCAGGCGTATACGTAATGTGCAAGGCAAAGAGCGAGAGAGAAGAGAGAACTGACACACAGGCACTCACACCAACACACATGCTAGCCCACACTTACGCACACCAGTGCAAAAACACAGACATGGCGTCCACAACGTCAGGCATTACGTATACGCCGCGTGGTTGTCGCCATCGCTTTCCTTATTTTTATTTCTTTTGTTGTTATAGCTGTGGCCTATCGAGAAAATTCTTTAATAAATTTTCCCATAAATGATCCAAGAAAATTACTTTGATTTTTTATAGGTTTGAATACTTAAGAACAATAAAAATTATTTAAACTATAATAAAATTTTTAAGCCCAAGTGAAATCTTTGAAAATTATCATTTGTTTTCAAACGAAAAGCAAAAAAAAATGTATTGGTCAAGTTGTTTACGCTGCGGAAAATTCGAATAAAATTTTCAAAAATGTTTTATAAACATTTCCACAAATGTAATTTCTCAAAATCCATATTTAATTCTATTATTTGAATGAAACTCTGACATTTTTGTTTATATTTCATTAAATGCTAAAGAGAGCGTTAACAACACAAAGAAAAAGAGAGAAAAGTTCTCTCAAAAAATGCGGCTGCTACTTTTTTCGCTCTTTTTTCCCACTTTTTTTTTTTTTTTTTTAGCTTTTTGCCTCCTATGTTATCTTGTTGATGGCCGGAAGTATGCAAAAGCTTTTGCTCTTTCTCTCGGTTTGTTACGTGAAATGTTTTCAAAGCTGTTGCAGTATTTTTGCCTATTGTTTATTGTATACTTTATTTTACACAAATCCCAAAATATAAGGAAACATAAACAAAGCGATTTAATTAAAGGCAATTACATTTACATGTTAGATGTAATTGTGTATAAGCGAAGCAAAGGAACGCCGGCTTTTCCTGTCATAAACATTTATTTATTAATATTATAATACTCCACATCTTTTCGTCTCACGCTCTTTTTTGTAACTTTTATTAAAAGAGGAAACAACTCATTTATCATTTTTTCCATAGATTTTTCTCTATTTTCCCCACTAGCATTTCAATTGAGCGACAATTTTCACAACAACAGCAAGAAAAACAAAACATGCTGGCTGCCAATTATTTGTTTGTTTGTGTGTATTATTATTGAACCAGTCGCACGCTGATTACTCCACGAGGTTTAACCATATCAAGGGTATCAAAGGGTATTTCTGGTGGGAAATCTAGGCAAACAACTCGAAAGTGGAGCAAGTTTTCTGAAAGTATTATAGGGTACCCCATAGAACTTATGTTTGCTCAATTCTCGTTACTCTTCTACAGTTAAACACCCGTTAACTGCCAAAAATTATTTCATTTCAACAGGGAACGTATTTTCTTTCGTTTTTGCTACCCTCCAGGTTTTCAAAAGTAAAAAGTAAGTGGTACAAATTTTTTGGGTAAATTTTTTTAGCCAAATATCATATTATTTTAGTGGGGATGGTGTGTTTCAAGTTTTTTCTTGGCGATTCCAAAAAATGCAATATTTTTATTCCTTTTTAGGGTATCAACGAGTTGCAACTGCGATGTATCATGGCTAAACTCCACTTGTTAGTCGGCGGTTTATTTGCTGCTAAAGTGGCTCCCTTACGATTATTTTTTTGACACGCTCATAAGCATCCGTGTGCCGCATTTGTGCACACTTTGGTATATATCATATATCTGGATGATTCATCCTCCATCATCATCATCATGATGTTCTCCTCGGTAGTTTCATGGGGCTTCATTAGCGTGGCTGCTTTTCTACTTTTCTATTCTTTTTTTTTGGCTTTTGTTTTTTAGCAAGCAGTTTGCTTAGGTACAGTTACCGCTGGTTTTATTTTTGTTTTTGCCTGTTAATTGGTTGGCAGAATAAAAGACCCAAATGCAAGGCTTGCACTCTCTCATTCTCCCTTTTTTCGTGGGTGTGTGTTTTGGAGGGTTTTCGGTTGACATTTAAGGCAGCTCCATGCTGGAGAAAGGTCCGTAGGTCACAGCCAAAAAGCTTAAAAGGCAGAGAGCAATTTTGACGGTGACGTTGACGTTTCTAGAACACAAAACTAATCTCAAAGCGTTTACAGTGCAGGCTGTAAGACATAAAGAGTTGTCACTTGCGTCAGCAAACGGCTGCTGCTGATTGTTTTATATTATTTATGCGCTGAATCTTATACATTTTTGTGCTGTGGTGGTACCACCAAAATGATTAATAACATGCAAAAATTTAAGCTTTCAATGTATTGTTTATTTACTTCTTTTAAATTTCTTTATTAACAAGTTTTTTTTATTTAAGCTTAAGACGGTCTGTGTTGGGGAGGTTCCACCGTAATAACAAACCGAAATAGCGGCTCAAAAACAAATGCGTGGCTCTCTGTCATTTGCTCTTTCTTGCACTCTCTGGAAAACAAAAGCAAAGATAAACAAATTCCGATTCAGAGCGGCAAAAAAGAGAGCCTTTCACCGGAGAGAGAAAAGAGAGCTTATGTATCGGCATTTTTGGATTGTAGACCTTTTCCAGTGTTGCATTGTCCAAAAATTGCTGTTGCTTCTCCGATAATTGTTGTTGTCGCCATGCGGCCATATTTGCTAATTAATTATGTCAAAGACAACGCATCAGCCCCGATCCCCATTCCTCTTCCCCTTCTTATCAAAAACACGTTGTTTGGCGCTCTCTCTTTTTTTGCCGCTCTCTTGCGACGCTGCAAAATAAAATATTCGTACGCGTCTTGTTATTATTTGTTGTTGCTGAGAAAATACAACAAATGTATAAAAAAGGCACAATAAAAAGTTGCCAAGACAACGAGTAGACTTTCGAAAAGAAAACAAAAATTGCGTCGTTTTTGCCACAATAATAAACGAATTCCAGACTGTACACAGAAAGAAAAAATGAACATGATATGATTTTACATCTTCTTTTCGATCCCGCCTGAATAAACTTATGTCTGTATCGTGTGGAAAAAACCAAGAACTGGTTTCAAGTTTTAATATATGAACATCATAGAAAATAATCAAAATTGAAGAGTGCTTTGAATTTTTTTCTGTGTACAATAATAAATAAATTCCAGGCTGTACTATTTGCTTGGACGGTCAGTGTAATGACGTCGGCGTCGGCAGCGCTGCCGACGTTGGAGGTCAGCGGAGCTTTTTATATTTGTATGCTGTTTTTGTTGCTCGTGCGTCTCGTTCTCATCGCGTTTGTTGTGTTTTTCGCATTTACGGTTACGGTTTTGTTGTGGCGCGCACTTTTCTTCCCCTTCTTTTTTGTCTCTCTTTTCCCCCTTTCGCCATACCTTTGAACATTTAAAACAATGGTTAATAATCAGGATGGTTAGCACAAGGAGAAGAACAGGGGAATGTAGTATATTCTGATTTAAAACGTTTTCGTTTTATTTTATAATTTATTTCAAATAAAAACTTAATTACATTTTTTAAAATGCCTTACATAAATGGTAATTTTACATTCCGTAGGTTTTAGGATACCTGTTACTGCTGTTCCACTGTATTAGCTAGTAAAAGTAAATTTGCTTCGGGGACATTTCTATTGTTGACTTTTTGTTAGTTTCCGTTGTTATTCTTGTTCTGCCTGCCTCGAATGAAAATCAATAAATAATAATACACTTTGTTGGCTGCCCCACCCCTTTTACCGTTCGCCCCGTCTCTGTTTAACCAAAGTTTAGACCTCTCTTTCGCTCTCCCTGGATTCGCGAGCCCAACGGTAAATATATGCTTTCCCTTCCCTCGGGCAAAATGAATATCTAAGTTAATTGCCTTCTATGTAATGGTATTTGATGAGTAATTGACTGAACGGGATGAATAAGTGATGAACGCATTACCCGATTACTTTGGCTATCGATCGACCATCGATCCTTCACCTTCAGTTCATATAAATACGAATAATAACATGGATTACAAATGAAAGAATGAAAAAGAACGAATGAATATGAATAAATGAATGCTTATGCGAATATCAATCGATCGAAGATCTTTGAACTCTCAGCAACTTTTTTAAATTAAATCAGAATCTTATAGACTGTAATTAGTCAAACAACATTTACACCAATGGAATCCGGAAATGGCGAATTCATTATTCGATTACTCTGTCTTAAATTGGTTATCGATCATTGATCTTTGGACCCTCGTTCAATTAAAGCCGAATCATGAAGAACTTTATACTGTAACACTCCAACGTTAGTTGAAGGAACCAAACTAAAGCGTAAAACTTCAAGAAAATGAACACCCGCACACAGAAGTACTGATAAGATAATCCCCACTAAAAAGTTTAGAAAGAGAGCGCTGTGAAAACAGAGAGGGATGGCGTGAATATTTGAGAAAGAGAGCAGGTGGAGTGGCAGAGCTGTTGGCGTCATAAAAAATGCCACAAAAAGCAAACACGCGTAAATTAGAAGCAACAACAGCAAAAAGAAAAACACACAAAAAACTATGTCTTCGATTGCGTAAAATGAGAAAAACGCCGAAAAGCCCCCGGGGAAATACCCAGTAAAGTATGCAATAAAAAAGCGACGAAGGACGTTCAACAACAATAAACATGAAACGCTTTACGTCGTCTAGTCACAAAAACTCACGAAAAACCAATTTGATGACGGAGAACAAAGTGCAGCCGAATTGATCATTTCATCAGACAATCATTAGATCATCAAATGGGCTTGGCTTTAGAATACAAACTTGGCTTTAGATCACCGAAGTTATTGCTAAGGAATTTCTTACCAAATGATGAGACAATATTCTTAGATATTAAATTCGTAATTCGTAATGTTTGATGATCGCATTCTTCAAAGACTGAAAGCAATTTCTTTGGCACCAACAGGTCATGATCTTAATATCACAATCGATTATTTTTAATGACGTAATACTGTATTAGCATACCATATCTGATTGTGATGTAAGCTGGCATATCTTTTGCCTAAGATCAGACTATAGCTTTGGTCATAATGACCCACATTTTGAATTGGCTGAGTTTAGGTTTCGAGGCTACTATGAATCAGAATGATGATGCAATAGTTAATCACTCCATTTGACAAGTTAATTTAAGAGGGTTTTATTTTTAGGAAAATAAAAATATAATTATGTTCGTAATGAAATCTTTCAATGAAATTATTTATGAGTTATTAGTTTTATAGTTACCATTTTATAGGAAATTTCTTTATTTATTTTTTTAATGCTTTATTGTTTTCTGTTCCATTTGCAGCATGTCCACAGATAATCCCACACAGTTGCTGACCGCCCGCGATTTGAGCCAACTGCGTGGTCATCTGCAATCCGGCGCAGCGGTGGCCTCCACTCACAATTCCGTGGTGGCAGCGGCGACAGTGGCTGCCGCCCATGGCTACCGCACGATAGCAGCACCACCACCTCAACCACCCGCCAATAGTAGCAGTAACAGTAACGGTAACAGTAGTAGCAACACCACCACAGCAGCAGCAGCAGCAGCAGCAGCAACATCATCATCATCTGCAACAGCAACATCTGTAATATCACCAGTTATAACCACAAGCAATAGCAGTAGCAACATGCCGGCCAGTGCCTCGAAATATGTATTTCTGCAACACAATCACAACGGTAGCTTTACGGCCTACGATGGTTCGTCAGCAGCGGCGACGGCCAACGGAGGTTCGACGGTTGTTGGCGGCGGTGCCGTTGGTGGTGCCACCGGTGGTGGCAACATAGTACTCCTGGCCGCCGAACCCCTGGAAATGGGAACCGGCGAGGCGTTGGTCAACGTGCGAACCGCCGACGATGACGGGGAGTTGCGTCCACTTTCCTGGTTGAATGACAGCAATCTGATCAAAGGGATTGTGACCACGAACCCAAGCAAACGTGGTGCCACTACAGCTGTGGCCATAAAGACGACAGCGGGTGGCACGACCACCGTGGGTGGTGCTGGTGGTGCGTCCAATGGCAATCTTTGCATAGTGAGCGATCTGATCGAGGAGCTGCCCACCAATCTGAGTGAAGCCAGTGAGCGGGAGGAGGCTGCCAGTGGAGCAGCGGCAGCAGTTTACAGCACCACCACGGTGCACAAGGGAGCCAGTGGCACCACCACCGTGGTGGAGTACAAGGCCAGCAGCAAAGCCAATCAGCAATCACAGCAGCAATCGCAGCAACAAACCTACTTGCCCACGCCGACGAGAACCAATACAATTGTGACTGGACACGGCTACATGCCCGTGGTGGTGAGCAGTGGTGCCACTCCAGCGATACTCTCACCCGCCAAACAGCAGCCACAGCAGCAGCCACAGCAGCAGCAACAAATCTATGTAACCAGCAATGGAAGTGCATCGGTGGTGGGAGGAGCGGTGCTGGGAGTGGGAGTGGGAGGATCCGGATCCACGGCAGCGGGAGCTGCCATTTACAAGGCGGCCAGCCAGGCACTCAGCTCACCCACCACGAACAGCAGCAGCAGCAACACCACCACCCACCATCCGCACAAGAAGTATCTGCGCGAGAAGATGCACGGCATCCAGTTGGATCACAGCACTCCGCACTCGGTGGCCTCCACGGTGACGGTGGTCAGTTCGCCGGCCTCCTCCAACAACTCCTCGATAGGCAGCTCCTCCAGTTCGGTGGGTAATTCGGGATCGGGATCGGGATCAGGATCGGGATCGGGATCCTCGACAGCGGCGGTCAATGGTGGCAATAGTCCAGTGCCGAAGGCAACCAGCAGCTTTAACACCATCTTCGAGGCGGTCAACTATGCCACATCGGCGGGTAACAATGCAGTGGGTGGCAGTGGTGCACCGCCCAGCAGTCAGGCGATGCTCCATGGCCAGGAGCCACCGGCTGTGGTCACCACAGCGACCTTGATAAGCGCCGGATCCTTGCCACCGGGCTATAGCTTCGTCAATCACGTGGCCAGCACGCCGCACGTCATGTGAGTTGTTTGCTCTGCTTTTATAATGAGGAATATCTTATAATTCAGTTGATTCTACCTTTTAGTTCGACGCCAGCGCATGTGGCCTCGCCGGAGACGCCACCGGGAGCGGCTCTGCTACCCGGCACCTACTACACAACCACCAGCAGCAGCAGCAGCAGCCTTGCAGCGGGCAACACAACAACGAGCAACTTGCAGCCGCGCAGCTTGCAGCTCTCCGTTTCCCCGCCGCCTGCCACAAATATGACGCCAACGAGTCAGGCTCACAATGGCTCACTTTCAGGAGGAGGAGGAGCAGCTAGTGGAGGAGGTGGAGCAGCTGGGGGAGGAGCAGCTGGAGCAGCAGTTAACCTGCGCAGTCCGAACAGCTACACCAGCTACGACAACGAGGACTCGCTGAAGGAGTTCGATCTGGTGGTCAGCTCGCGGATGCACACGAGCACCCCGCAATACTCGATATCCAAGAGTGGATACGCCGGAGCGAACTCCAATACGCCGCAGAAGCAGAAGCATCCCAACAATGTGCCATACGATCCGCTAGTGCATACCAACAACAAGCCGCCATATAGCTTTAGGTAAACTTATCTGTGATAGAAAATATTTATGTATATGTATTTATTTGTATTTATAATCCGTAGTTCCTTGATCTTCATGGCCATCGAGGGCTCCAACGAGAAGGCGTTGCCCGTGAAGGAGATCTATGCGTGGATTGTTCAGCACTTTCCGTACTTCAAGACGGCCCCGAATGGCTGGAAGAACAGTGTGCGGCACAATCTCTCGCTGAACAAGAGCTTCGTGAAGGTGGAGAAGGCGCCGAACATGGGCAAGGGTTCGCTGTGGCGCGTGGAGCCCCAGCAGCGCCAGAATCTCATCCAGGCCTTGAATCGATCACCCTTCTTCCCCAATTCGGCGGTGGACAAGATCAGTCCCTCGCTCAAGAGTCCCAGTGGTGGTGGTGGTTCCGCCTACGATGGAACGATGGATGCTGGCAATGCAGTGCAATCCTCCTCCAATCAGTCAGCGGTCAATCCGGGAGTTCCTGCTGCCTCAGCTCCTGCTGCGGTGGCTTTGTCCACTCCAACGAAAAGCAATGGCTTGGTTATGGCGGCCAATGGTGCTAGTCAGGCGACGAATGCGGCGGCAAGACCGCACAGTCCAGGCGGTGGTGGCGGTGGCAGTGGCAGTGGCAGTGGCAGCCATGCCCGCTTCGATCCCAAGCTCTTTCCCAATCTGTCCAAGGCATTTCGCAACATACGCGACGACTCCGCTGGACAGCCGCAGCTCTCCGACGTTCTCGATGACATTTTCTCCGGCGATTATCACAGTAATAATAACAACAACAACAATAATAACAACAGCAATGGCAGCAAGTACAACAACTACGCGGGTTTAAATGGAGCTGGCAGTGGAGCAGGAGGAGCAGCCAATGGAGGTGCCTCCGATGGCATCAACTTCGAGCGATTGGCACGCGATTGCGGAGCGGACAGCATGGACGATGTGCACGCGGCGGCGGCGATGCTCTTCCTCAAACACGGACCAAAGGCCTTCAGCGAACCGAACTTCCAGAATGGGTAAGCTATAAAGGATATACTTTTTGTATATATATCCTTTTAATTCTATGTTTATATTGTTTTTACCTGCAGAAGTGGCCCAGTGATCACGAGTTCGCCCAGCGAGGATCACACCTATTCGGCGGGCGGCAACAGCAATGCGGACAGTGGCTCCTCGACGCCGCTGACCAATGGCAATGTCCTCGCCAGCGTCGCCCAGGCGGTCGTCCAGGCGCAGAGCAACCAGGTTGGACCTGGAACTGGATCCGACAGCAACTGCGCCAGCTCGGATGCCGCCTACGACAGCAGTGAGGAGAAGTGAGTTGCGGGATTTATTATTTACCATATACTATATGTCCAGTATTCGTTACCATAGCTTTGTGATTACCAATTAGAATCCTATTTTATCATATCCATTTTATTCATCCATTAATTATTTATTTCATCATCCAATTTATTCGTATTTTATTTCAATGTTAGTGTATATTTTATTTTGTTTGTATTATTTGCTAGGCAGTTGGAGGATTTATAATTTATGTTTCCAGTATTCGCAACTATAACTTTGATTAACAACTGAAATCATAGTTTTTTACGAGATTTCAATACCATTCTACTCCTATTTTATTTCAGTGTTAGTGCGTATTTTATTTTATCTATATTATTTGTCATGTTATTGGCTTTTTAATGTTTAGTTTTTATTAGCTTATAAAAAAAAATGATATAAAATCTTATGAAATCATAAACTCGGGCTGTTATCTCATTTTATTTTTGCATAAGCTTGAAAGTTTTGTTTTATATATTTTTTTTATTTAAACGATTCCAATTCGAAAAGTAGTTCATGGCGTTGCCACAGCGTTCAAGAGGCGAAATATGTAATTTGTGCTTTATGGCAACTCCGTGAACACGTCTTGCAAAAAAAATAATTCAATGAAATAAACAATTCGACTAAAATTAGAAACTTAGAAGAAATTAGAAAAACTTAAAATTAAAATTTAAAAAAATTAATTTTCTGCAAACCCATTTTTGGAAAGGGCTTGTATCATAAAAGTTGGAGAAAATCGGCCAAAAAATAAAAAATTCAATTCAAAAAATTTTTTTTTTTTTTTTTAATTTAATGAATTGAAAGTAAATTAACTAACTCATGAATTTTACTTTTTTTCAGCCACAACATCACGCCCGAGGAGATGGCCGACCGGCAGCGGCACCGCGACGGCGTCGACGCCCTGCTCTCGCTGTCCCGCTCCTCAATCGTCGAGTGCGGCTCGTCGGTGGCCACCACCCACTATCACAGCAACGGGAGCAGCGGCAGCAGTCACGGCTCCCCGCACAAGCGGGCCTCCAGCCAAAGTCTGGAGGAGGAGCACCTGCAGCAGCATCGCGAACAGCAGCAGCAGCAACATCAGCAGCAGCAACAGCAATATCAGCAGCAACAGCAGCAGCAGCAGCAATTTGGCAGCAGTCAGGCGGTCTACACCAACGGCCTTGGCAGCAAAATGGCCTTGTTGAGCAGCGCTGCTGCCAATGTGGCACTTGCCCAGCAGCAGCAGCAACAACAGCAGCAGCAGCAGCAACAGCAGCAGCAACAGCAAATCCACCAGGAGTTGTACTCCTCAACGGGCAGCAGCATCTATCTGGGTGGACTGAACAATCACTGCCTGACCGCCGTGGGCGGTGTTGGTGGTTCGGCGGTGGGCGTGGCAGCGGCGGCGGGCATGCTGCCACAGCACCTAAGTGCCGCCATGGTGGCAGCAGCAACGGCGGCGAGCAAGAACAACAACAAGGTGAAACCGCTGCGGGGATTGCGCACCAAGATCAAGCGAAAGTCCGCCTGGATGCGGTGAATATGGCGACAGGTTGGCGGCAAGTACTAACTAAGTACTCTAACTAAAGTACAGTACTACTTCGGCCACCTTGGAAATGAAGGAAAATCCCAAATCCCAACCCCACGTGTACCGCCCGTTAAATACCGCTCCCCCGCCCCCGCTACCTGTTGTTGTCTCTTTCTAAAGCAAAAATTGTTCAAATCACAGAGCATTTAGACTAAATTTCGTAAACCTTAGAGAAAAAAAAAGAGCTTACAGAAAAGCCAGTTCTTACTTATTTTTTTGCTCTACTTTTTTCCCTTTTTTTTTTGTCTGTTTTTATTTTTGCGTGTTTGTTATACAAATTTTTTTATCACTTAATTTCGATTAATTTTTAATTTAGCCTTTAATGTTTTTTGACTTCATTTTTTACCCCCAATTGATTGTGTTGGCCATCTAAACTGTAATTGATTAACTATTAATATATATGATTTACTAGCCATCCTAGCTGCAATTTCTTATAACTCCTAGCTATTAAGTTCTGATTATTTTTAGCGTGTAATTTTAATTTGTGCAAATATTTTACAGACCAGCCGGATGGAAAATTCTGAGAATGGAAAAGTGTTTGATTTTAATTTAGTTTTTTTTTCGTTTTAACTCGCGAATTGAGGGACACAAAGTAAACTTTTTCCATCGTATCAGTGAAAGGTTTATATCAAAAGAAACAACAAATTGAGCTAAGCAAAAAAAAATCCAAAAAATCAACAAAACGAAATGAAGAAAAAAAATTGTAAAAAGCGCAAGAAAATGGAAAAAAGCAAGAAAAGCAAACGAAACGTTTGTACAAAGAGCAAACTGAACTAAGAAAAAGAAAATGTTTTTTCTACACCTATAAGATGATCCAAAACACCCTACTTACATGATCTAAAACGATATACAAATATATATATATATATATATATATATATCTAAATATATATATAGAGATATAGAAAGTTAAATAGAGAAACTTAAGATAAGCCAAGCAAGAAACCCACAAAGGAACACACATTTAGCGCCTTATACATTGAGTCCTTAGCTGAAAAACGAATGAGGGATCTGTTGAATTGTTTGAACTGCTTTGTTATACGGATGCATAAGTATATATATTCTATATCGATATATCTAATTATCTAAGGCCCAACCTCCCCTCCCAAAAACAGAAACACAAACAAAAAACGAAGCACTCAAGCAAATGTTAAATCAAAGATATCTAGTTTGTAAGCCAGTTTGTAAGCTTCATTTGTATGGTTACTTAGTTGAAATGCTAAACATTTGTTAACGAAGAGAATCAAAACCGTAGCCGATTTTAGTTGAATGAACCTCGTCAAATTTCCACACCCCCCCGCCCCCCGCCCCCAGAAAAGGTGTATATATATTGTATACAAAATGGAAATCGCTGTTGAAATTACGCTGCACATCTTTACATAGACATATTGTGGAAACCAAGAAATACTTATTAACATTTAAATAAGCTGAGGAAGAACTTGACAAAGAACGCCCTAAGTGTATACACTTCATGTACCTTTTTAGCAAAAACAAAAAAAAAAGCAAAAACGCAAAAGCAAAGATCGCATTAAAAAATTAACGTAAATATATATATACATATACATATGTTTAAACTTACCAATTACGAAACTAAACTTAATGTTGATGACAAAGAGAAACCAATTTGCTAGTTGTTACAAACAAGAAAAACAAAAAACATGTTAAAATATTTTGTTTCCTCAAAACTTATTGATAAGATTATGGTTTTTGTTTATTTTTTTTTTTAGTTTAATTACGACAAAATATAGTGCCGCAGGGCATATATTTTTGGGGAATGGAATGTGACTAAATACCAGAAGCGAGAACAACAAAATAATTGTAAATCTAGCTTTAGCTTTTAAGAAGGTCCTACACAAAAAGAAAAAATCCGAAAAAACCGAAAAAATCGAAAAAAAACCCAATGGACACGACACACGTTGAAAGACAATCGCCGCCCGAATTGTTGTCGTTGTCGCTTAAGTTTAAACAAATTCTATATAGATATAGACACCTACGAGTAATATATACAACATAACTTACACACACAGCAATAGCAAAGTACATATACGACAAATATTGTTATAGAATCCTTAGCTTTAGCCGAGAGGAGGTGGATAACTGTCCTATCTTCCCGATCCCACAAGTCCTATATCCTATATCCCATAATCCCCGGAAAACAACCGATGAGCTAACCAGTTTTGTTAACATGTTTTTTCTTATATTTTTAAACTATTATATCGCATTATTATTATTACTATTATTATTATTATTATTATTATTATATTATTATTATTACCGTGTATATGCCATGCTGGTATATATGCATATATATATTTGATTATACAACTTTTTTTGCGTACCAAATACACACCAATCAAAATGTGAAATATTTTCATTACAAAACAAGTGTTTTATTTTGCATTTTCCTGAAGGTTTTTAAAGATTTCATCTATTTTAAAGTATTTTTTTTTTTATATTTGCTAGTTATGTTTGCCTTCTTAATTAGTTGACAGCACTGTGTATATAGCTTGTACAAAAATTAGCATAGAGTTTATATAGAGAGATTGGATTCTGTTCAACTACATATAGTAAGTGCCTGCCTTCTCCTGAATGATGATTAATAAGATGATGATGATGATGACGGAAAACCCTGGATGAAAACCAGAGTAGAGCTTTGATTAAACGCCGCACTGTTGCCAATTTTCATAGATTCGTTTGTTAAAGTGTTAGCTTAAAGCTATAGAACTCGATCCTTCGATCCCCGCCTTGCTTTAGACTCAGTAAATAAATAAATACTATACATAGTTAGGACACTCACCTACACACAATGTACAGACTACAGGGTATCCGAAACATCTCGAACGAACCGAAGAGAACGAGATATATACACATCCAGATATATTTGCCCTCAGTGAACGTGTACTATATATCTCGCTGATAGATATGATGATCAATCTGTTTACCCTCCAAGGTTTCAACTAGCGCCTGTTTTTATGTCTTTAAAACCTATGTACGAAAAACATGAAATACAAATTATACAAAAACAAAAAACCACAATGAAAAGGATATGAAAACCCTTGAGAAATACCAAGCAAAAATGTAGAAAATCAAACATAAATTCTATTTATATATATATGCATACGTATGTATGGAAGGCAAAGACAAAAATGGTTAGGATGAACAAAATGTTACCCTGTATTTTTTTAGACATAACATTTTTCTACTTTTTGGACAACGTAAAACCCAAAGAAAAAACAACCAAGAGGCGAGTGTAAAATATTGTAGGCATGTGGAAGGGTAAAAGTTTGATTTTAGTTTGTTGCTAATTTATAGATAAACATGGTCAAGACAAACAAACCAAGTGCGAAACAGATTTGGGACTGATCTTTGGGCCTGTATCCTTGTGTATAAGCGAATTGTGTATGACTTACGATAAATAAAATACTCTCCACCCATCTGTTGATACCAAGCAAAATCCTACTGTTCTTTTTAATACCCCAGCAATTTAGGAAAATTAACTGTGCCAACTTGTGTCCACTCTCCACCACGACTTCCTATTAGCTTCCGGCCAGTTCACTCTCACTCTCTTTGGAGACTTTTGTCTTCGGTGTGCGAGCTTAAGCGTTAGTTTCCTTTGCCTAGCTCGCCGCTCCCCTCTCTTAAAGCAAACCGCCGCTTCCGAAAATGCACTTGCCATTTAGATCACCAGTAGCCAGAGAGCAGTCGCCCGGAAAACACGTGCAAAAAAATGGCGGGTGCATCGAATTCCTCTGACGCCGTGAATGCAAATCGCCTAGAATGGTTTACCGAGAAAAGGGAAAAGTGATCACGTTTTGGCTAAATGAAAAATGGAAGTATCGGCGTTTACTTCTTACGCGTGGAAATTAAGGTAAATGTGTTGTACTTGGTTCCCGTTGATAGCGGAAATGGTAAATAACGGAGATGTGTTGCGTGTTTTTAAATGCAGTTTTCGTGGCTAAAATAAGCAATTCGTTTTTTTTTCTGTGAAAAAAGTGGTAATTTTAAATAAAACGCTTCCGTTTTACTATTTTTGAAGCAGTTTTAAAGCGCTAATTTTTTTCAAAATGGCTGCCATTGAAATCAAACCCAAGCGTCCTAACCGTAATTTTGATCTCCTTTAAGTCTCCTTCTCCTTCTCTTATTTTCTATCTATTTCTCTATAACTTTATCTTTTTCTCTTTCCTCTGAGTAGTTCTGCTTTCCTGTCTTTAATATCGATGCTCTCTTTGGCTGAAATATAGAGCTTAAGCGTTAGTTTCCTTTGCCTAGCTCGCCGCTCCCCTCTCTTAACGCAAACCAACGCTTCCGAAAATGCACCTGCCATTTAGATCACCAGAAGCCAGAGAGCAGTCGGCCGGAAAACACGTGGAAAAAAATGGCGGATGCATTGAATTCCTCCGACGCCGTGAATGCCAATCGCCCAGAAAAGTTTACCGAGAAAAGGAAAAAGTGATCGTTTTGGCTAAATGGAAAATGGAATTATCGGCATTTACGCGCGGAAATTAAGGTAAATGTGTATCTTGGTTCCCGTTGATAGCGGAAATAGTAAATAACGGAAATATGTTGCGTGTTTTTAAATGCAGTTTTCGTGGCTAAAAATAAGCAATTCGTTTTTTGTTCTGTGAAAAAGTGGTTATATAAAATAAAACGCTTCCGTTTTACTATTTTTGAAGCAGTTTTAAACCGCAATTTTTTTTTCAAAATGGCTGCCATCCAAATCAGACCCAAGCGCCCTTACCGTAATTTCGATCTCCTTTAAGTCTCCTTCTCCTTCTCTTATTTTCTATCTATTTCTCTATAACTTTCTCTTTATCTCTTTCCTCTGAGTAGTCCTGCTTTCCTGTCTTTAATATCAACGCTCTCTTTGGCTGAAATATAAGTGCAATAATGAAAAAAGTGATCTTCGAGTTTGCCGTTCGTCTTCGTTGGAATGTTTGACTGGTTGCATGAAGGAAACATGTGGGTAAGTGATTATACGTTCTGCTTTTATTAAATCAATTGATAAATGGCGGTCAATATTGATATAAAAAAGTTCAAGGATTAGTAGTTGATCATTTAACCCTTATACACATTAACTTTCGTTTTTACATATGTAAAAAATGTTGTATACTGCAAAAGCGACATCGGTCATTCCCACATTCTACATAAAAGCGCCCTCTTTATTCAACTTCAAATAGATAGAGGCGCCATCTATTATTTAAAAACGCAAATTCTGTTTTAAAATAGTTCTATAGCAATGAGCTTTATTTAAATTTAATTAAAAACGGTTACTGGATTTCAAAGAAGCGCTTTAATTTTCTTAATTTTCCTCCCCTTTCGTTTCCCAAATGTAATATGACCTTCTAATTGGAATACAGTAGATTCGTCTTTATTGAATTTGATTTCTCTGTTCAGTTTTACATGCTATATAAACTAGTTTATTAATCATTATATTATTATTTATATTTTTCATTATTTCGTGTTACTCATTTCAGCGACATCTGAAATGCCCCGATTTGTTTCTCATGTCCCACGTTCATTTTGATAATTGTTTTCATGACTTTTCCATTTTTCCATTTTTGTTTGATTTATTTTTACTTGTTGGGGTTTTTTTTTTGCAAATCTTTGCTGGAAATACGTTCAATGAGTGAAAATAAACACACAATTACAGTTTTACTTAATAAAAAAATACTCATTACATTTAATTTATTTTGGTTAGTTGTTAATTTAATGCTCGTGTGCATTTATACAAGAAATGCTAAAAAAAATGTTAGCCTTCCTTCATTTTTTGAGTTTATTTTGGATATTTTTCTTGTTGGTTTGCTGAGGTCTTAGAAAATGATTTTAAAGTTGCCAAAAAGTGTATGTGCTTATGTTTAATAACTATGTTTAATGTATATATCTATATATGGTTTTTGGTATTGTATTTACTTTTGTTATATGTATGTTTTTGATATTTTTGCTGCTTTTTTTTTTTTTTTTGTTTTTATCGTTTTTTGGGCACATTTTGCTAATTAGCTTAATTGTTGTTACTCTTAATGCTTCTTTTTCTCTTCCATATACTTTGTTCTGGTTTTTCATTGCATTTTTGGGCGGATTTCAAACTGAAAAACTGAGCTGGCTCTCCTTAAGATCTTTAGCGGTTGAAAACTTAGGTATTTGGCTTGGTATCGTTTCAAAAGATCAATCGATCGACTGTTTTTGAGTGTTCTTATTCTTTTCCTTTACCATTCAACAGTTCGGAATGGATGTATTTTAATATTCATAATTATGTTTGTGTATGTATAGAGATTTTTATATATATATATAATATATATATATATATTTATCTGCTGTTTTACACTATGGGGTTATTTCAAGTCATGCGGCTCTTTCTGTTTCTTATTTTGTTTGAATCTGCTAAAATAACTCGCTTGTATATCCTTTCCACTTGTTATTTCTTATGCTTTAAACATAATATTGATATGGTCTGGTTTTTGTTTTCGTGTTTAACTGCCTGATCTCTGAACTCTTCAATTCAATTCAATTTAAGTGGGGGCCCTAAGACTCGGTCCTACTTTCTTATGTACAGCTAATATTTAGTGGGTGATATAGAAGGGAAGGGAGGACAATTGGCAAAGTCTCGAAAACTGGAGAGTGTGTGCATATATCACCATGGGCTTAAATTCATTCATATTCATATATGTAAGATATCTGTGTCTATAATGTCTAAAAAAAATTCAATCATTTCTCACTAGGTATAAAAAGTAGGGCGTGTGTTTGTTTGTGTGTGTGTGTGTTTGAATTGGAAGGATAATTTCATATATATTTACAGCTCAATTCTTTTGATTTCAATGTTTTACGTTTTCCGTTTTAAGTGTTTTGTTTAAAATTAATTACGTATGTTTCGGAGCAGTACGGATCTATGCAAAAAATTGTTCACTGCCATATTTTGTATATATATATTTATATATATAATGTGGGTTCAGCGCCATTTTTCATTAATATCTGTACGTTTTTCTTTACTTGGCTAGCACCGCATATTGTTAATAAATATAACTATGTATGGTATGTATAAAAATGCTGATCATGCATATATAACTAGGGTATATATGTCTATATTGGCTTGTGGCGAGGGGACTTCGACATCTTGGGGCTTCCAAAAGTATACTATACAATTTCAGAGTGTTTCTGTTTCGATTTCGGTTTCGATTTCGGTTTATTTGTGAGGCGGGTTTTTTGGGGTCAGAGGTTAACTGGGATCGGGGATTCGAGGGGATTGCGAGTACTTTCGTTCCTCAGCGGCATTTTTGCTATTTTTTTTGGTGTTTTTTTTGTTGTTGGAAAATAAAAAAGGATTTCGATGGGTTTTTTTTTTCGTTTAAGAAAACATTTTTATTTGATAAAGTTTCGTTCATGTTCATGTATTATTGGTATGTTGTCGCTTGTGTTTTCGATTTCTTTACTTTTTTTAATATATATATATTTATAATATGTATATTATAATTACAATAATAATAATAATAAAAATACGAAGACAAAAAAAATTGGTTTTAGAAAAAAATAAAACTAAAAGTTACGAACCATTTCAACGTGTTTAATCGTTATCCATATTTTGTATATATTTTATATATATTTATTTATTACTTGTTTACCTCATATTCATATAGATGTAATTTATTCTTTAGCTAAAGCGTATAAAATGCAAAGTGTTTAACTTGATAACTTAAACGTAAACAGGAAAGGAGAAAAACTATAATTTAAATAAGATCGTAACAAATTTTGATGACAAAAATTGTTTGCATATTTTTGTAATATGTTTACTTTTTTTTGTTGCTTTAAGTTTTTTTTGTTTCTTGTACGAATTTGGCTTAAAGACGCAAATTGTATTTTTGTAGTTTTTTTGAAATGTGTTTGGTATAAGTTGGTAATTTTTTCTCGTTACTTCTCTTCTCATATATATGTATGCAATAATCATAATAACGCGGCAAATTTTGGGCCTATGCAAAAATGTTTTTGTGTTGTTTAAATTTACTTAGAATTTTTTTTTTGGTTTTGAGAAATCTGGATTTCGTTAAGCTTAAACATTTAGCCTAGGAAAAAAAATTTAAATACTTGTTAAAATTTGTTTTTTTGCTCATCTTGCTTTACTGTGTTGTCTCTTGTTCATATAGGAAAACAGATTCAATTTTTTGTTATTTTTTTTTTTCGTTTTTATTACGCAATTTGTTTTATATTATGATTACGGTGTGAGCTTATACCCTAGGCAAAAAAAATTGGCTGTCTTAGAATAGGGTTTAGTTTTTTTTGACGTTTTTTGTGTAATTTCTTTAGTACGATATGCGGCTTGTTTTTTATTTTCATCTATAAATATTTTAGATTCACAGAAAAAAATTGTTATTTATGCTAAGGTTTAATGCAAATTTAAATTACCGTTAGGCTAACTTGATAAACTTTCCACTTCTCGCTTTTCTGCATAGGTATAATTATATATAATAATGTATGTAATAATTAGATTATAAATAATTTAGTGCATATTGCATGTTTATTTTTGCTACAATTATGAATTACTCAATTTGTGTGTGTTTTTGTTGTGCGGTGTATTTTGTGTAGGTGTGTGAGTGTGTAATTTTTATGTAAATTCAGAATTTACAAAGTTTATTGTTATATACTTTTTTCTCAATTTGCCTTCCGTTTTCTATCGTCATAATATTTTTTTTTTTTTTTTTTTGGGCAACAAAATAGGGAAAAACTTTCTGTTCGCTGCATTTCTGCTTTGCTTTTAACTATCTTTTACTTTGGATTTTCACTCCGCGTCTTCCACAATTCCCTTTCAATATCTTTTCCGTTTTGTTTAATATTTTTTTTTGCTTGAGATCAAAAGATAGTTTAACAAGTCGGTTTGCTGAGGGTGGTAGAAGGGAGGATTTTTAGGAAGAACGACAGCAAGATCATGCCTCGCGAGAAATCTATCTATGTACACCATCTGCTCCTCGTTTATCATCGTTTATTTACACTTAACCAGCTAATCTGCTAATAATCATATAATAATAGTTTCTCAAAAAAAAAAGAATAAGATATAGAATCGAATTACATGTGTGTGTAGGTATATCAATCCTACCGCCTTTGCTTACAGTCTTCAAGTAGAAACAAATCGAAAATCTTTGCAAGATCAAATCTTTCACTATCAATTGAATCTCGACGTTTTGGTTAAAGTTCTTCGGCAAGTCGGGGGTCTATATGGGGGTTTTCTTTAATACTTTTGCGCTGCTCTCCACATATCATCATCATCATCGCATAGCGTCTCTAAACTTTTAGCTACAACTATTACCACTCCTCACCTCACTAAGGCTATCTTAACTGCTACAACTAACGCCTATATTTAGTAGTTTATGCTTAATCGAAAAAAAAAAAAAAAAAAATACAGTTTTCTAGGGCCTACGAGCTATTTAATATATATATATATGTATGTTATATATATAATATTATATATATATGTATTTATGTCTCCCGGGATCCTCAGATTGTTTAAACATTCAAACTTAATCACAAGTAAACGCGCTTTCGTTCGTCTCCGCTTCTCTTTCTCTACATTGCACTGAATTATTATATAGTTTTCTAGTAATTCCAACCGGATGCCGTGCTTGCAGCAGCGGTGGTAACAGCGGGTGTGGTGCCGGTGCTACTGCCAGTGCCGCTGCTCTCCCCACTCGGTGGTGGAGGAGGTGGTGGCGGTGCCAGCGGTGCGGGCATCTCCTCGGAGGAGGAACCACCGCCGCCAGTGCTGCTCAACCTGCGAACGCGCACCATTCGCAGCTTCTCCTCGTTGATCACCTTGAGCTTCTGATCGCTGATCGCATTGGCATTGGCATTCTCCTCGCTGTCCAGGTTGCCCTGCACCGACTGCTCCTCGTCGTCGTCCTCCTCCTGCTTGATGTGCACCTCCGGCTCCATGAACCGCTGGTCGATCTCCAGCTGGGCATGCTCGTGATCCGAGTCGCCGCCCGCCTCCGTTGCTCCTCCCTTGCTGCTGCCATCGCCGTCGGCATCGTTGCGTCCGTACTCCGATCCCTGCATCACGCACACTCCGTTGATGATCCGCTCGTTGTCGGCGGCTGCCGCTGCAGCAGCTGCCACGGCTGCCACCACAGCACTGGGATTGGTGACCGCGCCGGCGGGATTCACCCACTGCGGTGCCGCTGGCTTTCGTCGCGAACTTCTCACCGCATTCGACATGTAAGCGGCTGCGGCAGCCAGAGCGGACTTGTGCAGAACCTTTTCGTAGTCGGTGGTGGTCTTGTCCTCCGGCTCCTGGCCCTCCAGCGATTCGTTGTCGCTCAGATTGTGGCCACCGCCCTCCAGTTCCATGTCGTCCTGGTAGTCATCGCTGCGTTCCCGCTTCAATGTGGGCATCGACAGATCCAGGCCGCTCATCTGCTCCTTGAACGCCTGATTCAGGGCCTGCAGCTCATCGCCACCGGAGGCACCGACGGCTGCTGCAGCCGCTGCTGCTCCTGCGGCCGCCGCCGCGGCGCCGGGAATCCCCGCCAGACTGCGACCCAACAGAGCCGCGGCGGCGAAGTACGGCGGATAGGGAATGGAGGCGCCGCTCAGACCCATGCGCTCCTTGTGCAGCTCAACCAGGCGCTGCTGCAGCAGGATGCGAAACTGGACGGGATCGAAGGGCGTGGCACTGGTGCTCTCGCGACTCGGAATCGGATTATCCTGGCCGGCGGGTCCGTGGGGAACCTGCTGCTTCAAGCGCATGCGATGGTTGTGGAACCAATTGGTGATCGTACGCGTTGCCAAGCCGAGTTCGTTGGCCAGAAACTCAATCGTACCGACATTGGGATACGGATCGAGGGCGAACGCCAGTCGGAGAGCCTCCTTTTGTTCCTCTGAGAAGAGGACACGCTGCTTCTTACTGGGTGGGGCACCACCAACGCCCGAGCCCACGGATCCCGGACCCGGACTGCTGGTGTAGAAGTCATTGGTATCGTTGCTCGATGTATCGCTACTGTTGTCCTGCTGATTGGGTCCCGTGCTCCTCCGCCGTTTGCTCGCCTCCCGCCGCTCGTTCTTGAGCAGCTGCAATCGCTCCACGTTGTTGGCGTCGCTCAGCCACAATTGCATCCGGATGAAGGGCTCCCGGCCCTTGATGGACAGCATGTGCCAGGGCTTCGGCTTGCTGAGCAGCTCGGAAACTGATCCCTGTGACAGTCCCAACACCGCCTCGCCGAATATCTTCTGACCGATGTTGTTGGCCAGCAGGGCCTCCTTGATCTTGGTTGTGATGTCGTGGGTGTCGAGATCCTGTGTCAATGCGGCCATTTCGTAGACGGTGGGCGACATGTGCTGGTGCAGACTCCTCATGGCATTCGTGCCATGGACGGGCATCAGCATGGGTTTCTTCTCGCTGCTGGAACCACTCGTGTTTCCCTGGCTGCCCGGGGCTCCCTGCTGCCCTCCCACTGCGGATGGTGGCAAACTGATGGCATGTTGGGGCGGCAGACCCGGCGAGGTGAGCAGCATGCTCTGGTGGTGCAGGGCAGCCGCCGCCGCAGCCGCCTGGTGGTGCTGCTGATGGGGATGCTGCTGCGCCTGCTGCACGAGATGCTGCTGCTGGGCGAGATGCTGCTGCGCCTGCTGCTGCAGATGCTGTTGCGCCTGCTGCTGCACCTGCGCCGCCTGCTGCGCCTGCGCCTGCGCCACCACCTGCTGCTGCTGCTGCTGCATGGCCGCCGACATGGCCGCCGCCTGCATCTGCTGCATCAGGTGCTGCGCCTGCGCCGGCTCCTGCAGCTTCAGCTCGCTCATCATCTTCTGCATGGGCAGCGAGGCCGCCTGCATCTTGCTGGCCAGCCCCTGCGGCATCTGCGGACTGCCGCTGTAGCTTCCCGTTCGCATCAGCTTCTCGGGGGCGATCTTGTACTGGCTGGCCACCAGCTTGTGCACCGCATTCTCGTCCTCGAGGAACATCTTCATGCGGATGAACGGTTCGCGGCCCTTCTGGGTGAGCATGTGCCAGGGCTTGGGTCGGGCCAGCAGATCCGAAACGGATCCCTGCGACAGCCCCAGCACCGATTCGCCGAACAATCGCTGCGAGATGGAGTACTGCGAGAGGGCCTCCTTGACGCGCCGCACAATGTCCTCCGTGTTAAGGTTGTTGAACATGTCGAACTGCTGCTGGGTGATCGGCGGCAGCACCGCCTTGGTGGGTCGCTGCGGCGTACTGTGGTGCGGTGTCACCGGTGGCTGGGTGATCAGCGAGTTGGTAATGGAGGCCATTCGCTGCAGCGGACTCGCTGTGGCCGCAAACTCCTCACCTTGGCTGCTCAATGCCGGTGGCAAGATGGAGTTGCTCAACGGACTGGGTGCCGCCGAATTGGTGCTGGCTCCACCACCACCACCACCGGTGGACGAGGCTCCGCCTGTGGGTGGGGCAACGCCGCCAGACGGTGGTGCCGGTGGTGCGGGTGTGCCGCCGCCCTCCGACTTGCGACCGTGCAGGGAACCCGGATACGCATCGTCCCGCTCGCCGTCCTTCGAACAGCTGCTGCTGCCGGCGCTGTGCTCCAGCGAGGACCGCTGGCCATTGAGCTTGATGTCCTTGGCTGCGGCGGCGGCCAGCGTGAGATCCTGGGCGCCGTTCAGCACCTGCTGCTGCAGAGCCATCAGGCTGGAGAAGTTGGGGAACTGGGCCTGCGCGGCCTGCTGCTGGTGCTGCTGCAGCTTGGCGATCTCGCGCTCGAACACATGCCGCATGTTCTCGTCCGCCATGGCGGGGAAGGCGTTGCTGGCTGCTCCCGGCATCCCAGCGGCTCCTCCGAAAAGCGAGGGTGAGAAGAGGAAGCTGATAAAGTAATCAAAAGAAAGAGTTTTGTTAGGTCAAAAGGTTTTTTTGAGAAAGAGCAATTGATGATTGCTTTATGTGGTATTAAAATTCCCATAAACTCACCTTGGAAAAGCTGTTTCACGCGGAGTGCGCGCTATGAGCTCCTGGTAGAGCCTGGCCATTTTGTCCTGGGCGAGATCCTCGTGCCGCTGCCGCTGCTGCTGCTCCCGCTCCCGCTGCTCGCGCTCCCTTTCCCGCTGCTGCGCAGCCGCGGCCGCCTGCTCGGGACTGAGGTGCTGGTTGTGCTTGTGCTGCTGCTCCACCTTGAAGAAGGGGGAAGTGCAGCTCTGCGGCGGCGACTTGCTGTCCTCGTTGCTGTGCGAATCCTCGCCTCCGCCGCCGCCGTGACTGCGACGCTCCTGCTCCCGATGCTGGGCGGCCACGCTGCTCTGCTTCATCAGCGAGGAGGCCTCGCTGAGGATGTGGGCAATCCGGTCCTCGGACATTGAGTCATCGCCGCCAGCGCCGCCGGCTCCGCGACCCGCATACTGCGGCAGTCCAGAGTCTGCAAATAATAATGCTCGAGATTAGTAGGAGGCAGATAGCAGGGCAGATGGGATCGTAAAGCCCATTAAATGCTGTAAATTTTATAATGCCCGATTGCCAGGACATGGCTACCATGGCAGTGATGGTAGTGGAAAGTGGAACTGCCGAGCCTCTCAACTTGGATATCTTGGATAACCCAAACCCAAACCCAAACTCAAACCCAAACCCAAACCCAAACCCAAACCAGACCGAAACCAATTAAGCCATAAAGCGTTCAAAAAGCCAAAGCGAATTTGCGGCCATAAAGCGCCGCTGCAGTTGAAAGGGTCCCGCTGCCAAGTGTCCACCGAATGCCACGCCCCTTTTGCCTCCAATGCACTGGCAGAAAAAATTTCGAATGTCCCCCCCACTCAACAGGGGGAAGCGAACAGCAAAGGCTGCTCAATTATGTCCGGCAAAAGAAACATAAAACGGTGGACATGAATGGTAAACTGGTGAAATATTCGTGTATCCCCCCTCTTTTACATTTTTTTTTGTTGTTGTATTTTTTGCACATCCCCAACCTAGGATTTTGTTCGCATCCAACTGCGAGTCTCAAATAGTTGTTCGATGCCAAACCCAAACCCAAACCCAAACCCAAACCCAAACCGTTGCGCTAATTTGGCACGCGCCAGGCCTCCAAACCCCAAAGAAAAATGCTCATCGAAGCGAGCGTTCTGGAGTTGAATAAACGAAACCAAACGAGAAGCGAATGAATAAATGAAAATGAATGAATTCAATTGCAATTGAGAGAGCGTTGGTTGGAGGAAATGCAAAAAAAATCGCAGCAAAGGTGAAGGTGCGGGGGTCTGAACAAAAAAAAAATACGTACGTAAAACTGAAAATTGTTTTGCTGAAATTCAATTGAAAACACGAAGTGGAGAAGCATTTGCTTTTTGGCTTTTTGCTTCTCGTGACAGCGAATCGAGTTGTAAATTGCAAAATAATCACACAAGTGGTTCGAGCCACCCACGTACTACACACTCACACACACACAAACACACCCATACCAATACCCCTTCGGCTTTTGCATGGCGTCCGAGCGCAGGGATCATTGAATTTCCTGTGTGATGTCCTGCGGCATGTTTTTGTGGTTGCCACACAGCAAAAACATCAATCAGCCGCACACGTTTAGCGGAATGGAACGTTCGTCGTTATACGATGATGATATGATGAGAACTGTTTTTGTTTCTGGGTGTGGAGTTGGCGAAATGAAATAACTGAAAATCGCTTTACAATTGCCAAGCATAATCGATGCCCAAAGGAGCAAACACTTGGCGGCAGCAGCAGCAGCAGCAGCAAAAATAAAACTGCAAAGAATCGGACGCAAGCGGAAACGGAAATCAACACATGAATGACAAATGTCCCAGGCATCCTTTCATCCTGCCATCTCCCCTTCTCTCGATTCCAGAATATCCTGGCCGACAGCTATTGAAGCGAGGGATTTGAAAAATTGGGGGGAACCGGACTCCCCAATCCCCCAGATACGTTTAAATGGATAAAGGCGATAAAATGACCAACTACAATAGATAGATCCTCGAACTCGACTCTCCTTCGGTTTGCTTGCTTTCGTTTGTTGCCATGGCATGAAAATTGGAAAAATGATTTTCTGTGTGAATTTTTTCCTTATGTGGCGGTCGGTTGGTCGGTCGGTCGGAGGGTCTCCTTGTCGTCGCTTCATTTGGGGATTACAAAGTGTTTTTGTGTTATAAAGTCGAAGATGACATTGATGACACCTGGAATGACCCAGACCCCAGAGATAGATGATGGGAATCGAACAAAGCAGCGATGGCATGGAGTTGGTCAGACACAGACAGCTTAAGCGGACTTAGTGGATGGATGATTGTGTCCAGTTTGGACGAGGTTAGGAGTTATTTTCGGCCAAAAGTAAAGTGAAGCACTTTAAAGCTGATGCACGTATGTGTGCTGATAAAGTAATTGCTAAATTGCCTTCTCTTCAGCAAATTCGCGTTGTTGTATTTTATATTTAAGAGTTGAAATACCAATTAGCGAAATGTCTCTATACACTATTTATTAGCAGCCATCATTTAAGTATATTGTGACAAAAATTTAAGTGTCTCACGTGGCGGTTTTCATCTGCAAAGCAGACAAAGCATTCGCTTCCCAAACCAAACTTCAATTTTGCAAAGGACTTTCCCCCAAAGTTACCCGCAGTTTTTTGGCCCAACTTTCGCTGCCATTTTTTTTTTATGGCCATCAGTCAACTTTATACTATATATATATATACAATATATATCTTTTTATATAGATATAGACAGCGAGGTTTGGCGGCAGTTGGGGCCAGCAGATATGGATATATATTTGTCGTTATCGTTAGCCACTTTTTTGTCTGCGATTTACATTACTTTTTCCGTTGTGTGTTGGATGTTGGATGGATAACCAGCCAAACCATTCGGTTACCCCCAGATGCTGTTTGAATTTTTTGTTTTGTAATTTATTAGAGAGGAACATGTTGACCAAATTGTCATTCAAAGGGATTTCGGACCGGAAATCGTTGGGGGGGAAATATGCGCACCAGATATGAGCTATCATATTTGTCTAGCACATACCAAAAAATATAAAAATATATATGTATGTGAATGTATATCTATATCGCATATATTTTTATATGACAATCTATCCCATCTTTGTGCGATTCCTCTTTCCCTGCCCTCCTCACCCTGGCAATTTGCTTGATGAATATTTGCCTTTTATAACAAATCAGAGGACGAAGAACCCAGACAGTGGAACCCAGTGAAGTGGCTGCTTCAGCTTCAGCTTCAGAATGCGAAGGAGGTCTTGGGGGCCTTGGGGTTGGTTCGTTTGTTTTTTTTATTCTAATACAATAAATATTTGCCAGCTCACAAATATGTAATCATACTTCAACATGTCGCGTCGATCTGAAAGGGTTATATATTTCCATATATATCATATATACATATACATATACGTACATATATTATACGTAGGGTACGAAAAAATAGGAGGACGGAATTGAACTGAACTGAACTGAACGGCACATTGAAATTGGCACACGCACGCAATTTGCATTAATTGCAGGAAAAATTTTCTAATTAAAATGCCAGTCATTTGTTTTTCCTTTTTCCCCGCGACTCTCGGTGACTCCTTTGGACCCCCTTTTGATTCGAAACCCACCACCCCCCTCCCCACTCCTATTTTGTCAGCTACCCATTTGTTTGTTGTTGTTCCTGTGTATTAGCAAAAGTGTCAATTAAAAAAAAAAAAAAAAAAAAATAAAGAAAGGAAAGGAATGGAAAGACAAGATGTGTGTGTGTGGGCAAAAAATGGAGGAGGGAGGAGTACCTTCAAATGGAATTGGAAACGAAACTGGAGGCTTCTTCTTCTAGCTGAGCAGAAAGCAAACGAAGCATGGTGAATTGAAGAGTTTCGACAGGAGGAAAATAAAGGAAGAAAGGGGGTTTAGGGGGGTTTTGAGGAGGGAGGGGTTTTCGAATGTGGGGTTCCTGCAGTGCAGAGACGAAGGAGACATCACCTGTTATCAGAAAGCGGCGTTTCAATGCCATTTAACCCATTCCCATTCCCATTTCACTTTGCTCGCTCGCTCGCTCGCTTGTCTTGCAATTAGGCAAAAAAAAAAAAAAAAAAAAAAATACCAGAGAGAAGGAGAAGGAGAGTGTGAAAAAGTCAGAGGAGCAGCCAGCTGCTGCTGGCAAATTCTGTGGCATGGGGAACGTGCAACAACTTTGTCTTGCATTTTAATTTGTTTTCGTCATGATTTCGTTTTGTTCTCCCACCTCCAAACATCCAGACCTCCACCTTCCCCCTTCCCCGCGTTTCACTCTTGTCAAAGTTCATTACGAAGTAATTAGCTGCCTTATATGCAAAATAAGAAGCATTAAAATCAAGCACGAACACGACATGTGCAACATTAATTTGTGTGTATGTGTGTATGGAGTGTGTGTGTGTGAGTTGATGGGGCTCAAAAGTTTATATTTCGTATGCTTGTTGTTTTATTATATATTTGTTTATTACAGTATTTTTCGGTTAGTCCCCATCAAATTATTAGCACTCCCTGATCGTTGGCCATTACTCTTCGGCTTTCGGGCTTTCCGTTCCTGATTGCCTCATTTCGTTCATCCCGCCAGAGAGATATCAAAGAAATTCAAAATAAAATAAATTTTATCTTCGCCACTCGCGATGTCTGTGCGCGATCGTCAGATTTATGAAAATTGTTGAGCGAGTTTTATGCTAATTTATGCGTATTGTTTGCCCGGCCCACGCAGTCAAACCTCCGTCCTCCCCCCAAAAAAAAAAAAAAAAAAAAACAAAAACCACCTCATCTGTCTGATTTTGTTGCCGCAATGAGTCGCCACACTTATGCGATGCCTGCCACTCGCTGAAAAATTAGTTAATAGATGCACGCCAGAGTGTTGGTTGGTGTTTTAAAAGCGTCACCGAAAGATATAAAATCAAATATACAATACAAAAAAAAATAAACAAATTTAATTTTAGTAGCATGCCAGGTATTATGTATTATCATCCGCCAGTTGAAATATTTCTCCTCAATAAGTCGACTCACTCGATTGACTTCCTCACATCTCATCTCCTGAACTATTGTGTTGTGTATAAATAAAATAATATGAAACGAAATCAAATGAAATACAATCAAGGGAAGGCCAGATCGTAAAGTCAAAGGAATTGATACGCCCCGTTGGTCACTTAGTCAAAGCAATATCTCCCAGTATTTCTCATATTTTGCTTCATTTTCTTTTTTTTTTTTCGTGTGGCAGCAGCCTAACCAACAACAACAACAGCAACACACACACACACACTTTTAGCCAGCTTTATGGCTTGTGACAAATAATTTGTGAAGCGGCCGCAAATATATATATATATGTGTGGCGGTCTTGCCTCGCTTTTCTTTTGTTTTTGTTTTTGTTTTGGTTTTATTCAGTAGCAGCATCTTGTGGCGTTTGGAATGCTTTTGTTTTGTCGAATCCCGTGTACGCTGTGTTTTTGGTTCTATTTTAAGGAACGCGCACTCTTTATTTTTTTTTATTTTTATTTTTTTTTTTTTTGTTGGCCTGGCCCGAGTTGGCCTGACTAAAAGCAAATAGGCGACAACGACGGTGTCTGTTGAGAATTATGTGTTAATATGCTAGTATTATTAGCTGGTTTAATGGCTCCGTTTGCCCCACTCTTTGTCAGCCTTGTCGGCCTTCTTTCTGCCTCCTTTGACTTCGCCCTAACTTTATTCCCCGCTTTTGTCATTACGTATACGCCGCGTAATTCTTTTTTTTTTTTTTGCGCTGTATTTGCCTAGGCTTTGAGCACCATGCTAAACGAGTTTCAATTGAGCTCTTAACTTCATTCTGGTCTTTTCTATTTTCCTAGTTTTTTTTTTATTTTCGTTCTGCAAAAGTCCTGTGAACTGTTTTTGTTGCTTCAGGTAACTTTATAGAGGGGAGTACGAAAAAATGGAAAAGTACTGGTTATCATATAAATACATTTACTTATGATTTCGATTTTTCTCACTTGCTTGAGAAATTACCAAGTTTCCCATGGAACTCTCTATATTCTATTCGTATATTCCTTTATCCTTTATCGATATTGCCCTGCCTTGAACCCACCCCCTTCCCCCAAAATGTTTTCCCTGTTTCTGCAGTTTAGTATGCAACAATTGTCGTTAAATGTTGGAAAAATGGAAACAAAAAGAAAAGCAGGAAAATAAATAAGGAAAACCAACCGAAAACGCAAAAAGTTTTGCGTCAAGCTAGTGGTGATGTTGTCCCTTTCCCTTCCCTATCGCTGCACCACCACACAGCGGTGGTGCCCCACTCGCCACACTCGCACCACTCGCAATCTTTCAGAACCACCCAAACACCACCCTCTTTTTGGCCAGCCACAAAGACGACTTCAAACGCTCGGCACGTCAACGTTTGCATGCCTCGTTGAAGTCAGTTGCAGTTGGTCGTTTGTTGTTGTTGTTGTTGCAATTGTTGTTGCTGTTGCTATTATTATTTGTTGTTGTTGCTGTTGCTGTTGTATTTGTTGTTGTTGTCGTCATCGCTGGTTGTTGTTTATATTTAATTCAACTTCACGTTGTTTCGCTATGTATGTTTGCTTATTTTTTGATTTTTTCTTTTTTTTTTTCTTTTTTGCTGTTGTATTTTGTTGTTTCAAGCCTTTTACAGACCAATTGTCACGGCAGTCGTCGCGTCGAACCATCCATTCCGTCGCCCCCACTTTTTACCACTGTTTTCCCCGCCGCCTTTCCCACCATTTTCCCACTTTTACCACCCAACCACCCACGATGCCCACCCATTTTAACCGGTTCGTTCATAACGCGCTTTAAACAATTACAATTCAAAATTCATTGACGCGCATCCTGGGTTAACTTTTGCCACAATGACTTCAAAGTATTGTTAACCAACTGAGTTGACAGGGGCGCGCAGCTCAGGGGGGATTAGAGGGCTCGGCGCCAAGAGGGGACTGTTTAGAGCGGACCAAAAATAAACAAATAAATTGGCATCGAAGATCATGCTGTTTTCATAACTGAATATCATTTAAAGAAAATAAATCCATGAATTTCAATTTATACTGTAGCACAAAAAATGTAAAATCTGATTGTAGATCTGCTATCCTAACTATGTATTTGCTTAAAATTAGCCGAGGATGAAGTTCAAAATGGGTAATAACCTCTGCTGCACTTTATCCTTTGATCCGCACCCTATTTTTTTCTTCTTCTTCTTTCCTTTAACCCCCCGCTGGCCGGCCAACTTTGAGCCCCCTGCCATTAGCAACTCTTTTCTATAAACAGTCACAGTTAGTTTAGCTGCCATGAGTAATCGTCATAAATTAATTGTCAACATTTGCATGCACTTAGTCCAACACACACACACACACACGCATACTCGCACACATTTGATTAACTTTGGGGCAGAAGAGAGGGGTACGGGGAGTGGGAGGGGAAGGGGAGCGTCTGCAAAAGGAGGGGATTCCAAGGGGTTCAAATGCGTGCCGGCACTTTAAACATACTTTTGCATCGACATATTTTTACTTTTTCCACCGCCACCGGGAAAGTTTTCCGGCCATGAAATTGATGACTAATCAATAAGGGAGCGAAAACCAAGACAACTAGATAACAAGGTTGGATCTTGGGTGAACGGGGGGTTAATTGCCCATAACAAATTAAAAAGTTGTTTATTTCAAAATAATTAAAAATATTAATAAAACATTGCAGCTCAGATGATCTACTGTGAATGAAAATTCTACGGGAACTAAACTAAATAAAAAAAGGGGGAAATAAAAATCAAAATCAAAAAACAAAAACAAAATCAAAAACCAAAAACGAGACAGAATGAAACAAATTCCTTTTCATTTTCACGCCTAATGTGCGAATTTCCCGAAATTTATGGCGACAGGCAAATGGCCGCTCCAACTGCACCGCAAATGTCTCTTTGGTCCGCCACCCCCTTTCCCCCCTTCCCCTTTCCCCTCTTTCCCCCCTTTCCCCTTTCCCCTTTTTCCCGGCGACCTCCACCCCAGAAAATGGCGTCGTCAAGTATGTCGCTTCTGCTTCTGCTGCTGCTTTTGCTATATGGCTGCTGTTGGCACGTTGATTATACGCAAAAATCAAAAATAATTAAAATTTCACAATTTAATGTTTTGGCCGTCGGCCAAACGAAATGAAAAACGCCAAAAGCTGCAGAAAAAGAAAGCCAGAAAGCCGAAAGACAGAAGGGGACAAAGACGGCCAGGACAACGTTTGAAGTTCGAGTTGAAGGATTCGCTTCAATCGGTTGTGATGACCTCAGGCAGCTATTGCTATTGGGTTTTCCTCGGTTTGTAAATAGTTCAGTGAACTGATAAACTTTTACTTAAAATTATACATAATTGGGATTATCAGGATTAAGTTGTTTGATATAATTTAAACAATAAATCCTGTCATATCATCAACCTGCCCAACTTGCAAAACCTCAACTAAACTATCCCCATTTTATGTTTTTTTTTTTTGGGCTTATCCACTCACCTTTCTTGGGTATCAGCGATTTGAGCAGCATGACGGCATTATCATCGCAGGCCCAGGCGTGCATTTTGCGGTAGCTGTCGCGTCCCTTCTCCGTCAGCTTGTCCCAGGGCTTCGGTTTGCTCAGCAGCTCGGAAACGGTGCCCTGCGAGAGGCCCAGGATGTACTTGGCGAACAGCCGCTGGCCGATGTTGTGCACTGAAAGGAGCTCCCTCACGCGCCGCGAAATGTGCAGGGTGTCCAGGGCCTGGTTGGCGTACTTGTCCATGTTGTAGCGCAGCATCTCCTGCAGCTTGGCCTCCATGGGATCCCCCTTGGGTATCAGCGACTCGCCGAGTCTGCCGGCCATCGATGCGCCCGGCGGCAGTTGCAGTTCCGAGTCGGCGAAGCGATAGTGACCACGTCCATCGCCGCCGGCGGCCACCTGGGCAGCGGCGAACTGAAAGGCCGGCAGACCGGGCAGGAATCCCGGTCCCAGGGCAGCCGCATGTTGGGCATGGGCCGCCATTGCAGCGGCCGCCAGTCCGTTGCTGTCCTCCTGCAGCAGCGACTTGCTGCCGTTGAGGGTGCTCGCCAAACTGGCGGCCAGTTGAGCGGTGGTGCTGCTGGCGGTGGTGTTGTTGTTGCTGCCGCCGCCGCTGTTGTTGCTGCCACAAGTATTGTTGCCGGCGGCGGCCGTCGGTGTACTTGAATTCGAACTTGACTCGGTCGCCTGCTGCTGGTGGTGCAGGTGGTGCGCCGCCGATGGATGCAGCAAACCGCCGTGCCCGCCGTGCAGGTGATGTCCATGATGGTGGTTTAAACTATCGCTGCTGGTTGCCGAATTGTTGCTGTTGTTGTTGTTGCTGCTGCCGCTGTTTTGCTGCTGCTGCTGCAGGTGATGGTGGTGTTGCTGGTGGAGGTGTTGCTGCTGCTGCTGGTGGTGTTGCTGCTGCTGGTGGTGCTGCTGCTGCTGTTGATGCTGCTGCTGCTGGTGGAGGTGGTGGTGCTGGTGGTGGTGGGCATCTAGGCGGGAAGAGGTGGAAGAGTTGGAAAATGTTGAGTTAACCAGTTGACTAAGCAGCGCTGTGGACGAAGGTCCATGTTGCTGCTGTTGATTTAGCTGTTGTGGTTGCTGTTGTTGTTGTTGCTGTTGATGTTGCTGTGGAAAGTTTATATGTTGCTGTTGTTGTTGTTGGAGGAGATGTTGTTGTTGTTGCAGGGGTGGTGGAGGTGGTGGCGGCGGCAACAACAGTTGTGTTGGCTGCTGCTCGGCCCTAAGATTTTGATAAATTGTTGGCGTTTTGCTCTCTGGCGGCAATGCAGTGTTGGGATTATTGCTTCCCGAAGCCTCGAAGCCTCGTCGCCAATAATCGTTGACCAGTTGCTCCGGCAGGACGACCTCTTCTTCTTCTTCTTCATCGTCCACATCATCGACTTCCTGTTTGGGCACCATTTTATTGCCGCCTTTCGCTTCTTCCATTTCCGTTTCCAGCGCTTCGTTTGCCAGCGTTTCTTCACTCAGATTTGTTGTTGCTGTTGTTGTTTTAAGTGATGCTTCTTCTTCTTCAGCTTCTGCTTGTGCTTCTTCTATTCGGTTGATTTCTGGGGATAACAACAGACAAATTTGGCTATTTGTTGTTGTTGCTCTTCAAAAGCAAGATCTTAATTTGATTGCATATTTAGTACTTAGTATTTTGGTCAACAACATCCATAGAACAAAACGCCAAAAATTAATCAAACTTTGTCTTTAGTTTTGGTTCTTTGTTTTTTCTCTCTCTCTCGATTTTCTCAAATTTTGTAATTTTGTAGTCAGATATATATATATTTTTTTTTGCCAATAGGTGCAAAATAACAAAGAATCTCTGGTGTGTTTGGAGTTTTTGTTTTGTATATTTTGTATATTTTTTTATGATATGTAAACTATTTATGATTGAAAATAGCGGCCAAAGAGATGGTGTGTGTCGTTCTGCTATCGATAAACATGCAGAACACAACAACATCAACAACATCAACAACAACAACAACAAGAACAATGATAGCATTGATTAAACAAAACAACAACAACAACAGTAACAATAACCATCGAACGCTCACACTCGCCCGATGCAAATATTGTGTTATTGAGGTGGAATAAAAAAGGCGAGTGAAAAATATAAGAAAAGAGGAGAGCTGTTTGCCTTTTGAGACCCATAAAATCTGGCGCCGTCTGCCCCATTGAACCTCCTTTCCTCCTTCGCTCCCCGCTCGCTTTTACCCCCCCCTGGATATATATAGTATACTCTTCTTTGGACGGTTTATCCTCCGACTGCGATAAGCGGTCAAATAAACCATAAAAATATACAGCGTAGCCGTTGTAGTCGTCGGGTTTAAATCAAAGCGATTGATAAACGAAGAAATATCGAAAAGGCGGTGTTGAGTGGAGGCAGGATGGAGAAAAGAAAGAAAGATGGTGGGGCAAACAGCAGCAAGACAAGGCGGAAGTACAGTACTCTCTACGGTGGATCGAATTTTTCAGGGATTTGGATTTGGATATAAAAAACTATTTATTTATTTAGTCATTTTCAGTTTCATGTACTAATTATTTGAAATGGGTGTTTTCCTATTCCTTTCGGTTTCGAATCTTTATAAATTGATCCACTCTGTTGTTTGAATATGTGAACCCCCTCTGTAATTTCAACTTGCAAACTTGATAGCTTGATAACTTGATAGCTTGACTCACCTTCGCTGAGGGCATCGCTGGCGCCATTCTTGAGCGCCTCGGCGGCCAGAGCTTTGGTGCGCTCGATGAGCAGCGCCTGGAATTTATTGGGGTCGTTGGCGCAGGCAGCGGCAGCGGCGGCCGCGGCAGCAGCTGCGATAGCCGACTTTGGACTAAGCACATTCAGATCCAGCGGACTGCTAGAAAGATTCATTGATTGCATAATTAATAAATATATTATATAATATAATATAACATATAATATAAACATATAATAACATAAAATAGCATAGTTATTATTACTGGTAATTAATTGAATTTCTTAGTTGTACGTACTGCTGTTCCTTTTTGATTTTGAGCTCGTTGCTATCGGTTGTGGTGGCATTGACCGCCTCCCGATCCTCAGCCTCCTCCTCCTCGTCGTCGTCGTCGTCGTCCTCGTTGTGTTGTGGCACATCCGGCTTCTCGTCCTGCTCCTCGGAGTCCACCAGCATGGCCTGGTTGTCATCATCGTCGTCGTCATCCTCGGCGGGAAGAACTGGAGCCTTGGCGACCTCCTTCAGATCGCCGATGGATGATGAGGCCTCCAGCGAGGCGGTGGATATGCTCTGCTTGCTGCTCTTGTTGTTGTTGTCGCTGCTCTGGCTATTGTTGTTGTTGGTGGCAGCTGCCGCCGCCAAGGCGGTCGCCTCGGCCAGCGCCTCGTTTATCTGCTGCTTATCGAGGCGTGCCTCCAGCCGCATAATGTGTTGCCGCTTGACCTCCAAGTGCTCCTCCAGTCGCTGGATTTGCACCAGGTGCGTCTGCTCCAGCGCCCTCAAGCGCTGCAGTTCGTCCAGAAGTGTCTTAATCTAAAATAAATAAAAGAGAAGTGGTTTAGTTGAGAGCTATTACAGGTTTCACACTACTAAAAAGTTAGTTGATATTAAATTCTGGTCATTTCTTAATGATTTCTGTAGCTTCGTCCTCTAATCCTTAATTTATTAATGTTGCCTTTTCCCATCGATTACTGTTGTCTCTTGCTGTTCTCATTTTCCCCCCAGGAAAAATTTAAATTTTCCTCACATGTTATGCGTGTGTGTGTGAAAAGTTCTCGAGAGTTATAAAATAATTTTAAATAAAATTAACAACGACGTCAATGTCGCTCGGCGTTGATTGCCAACGACTGATGCTGGAGTGCTGTAGTGCTGGAGTGGCGGTGGTGGTGTGGCACACGTCTCCATCGCAAAACCACCCAACCGCTAAATGCCGGCAGGTGCAGCAGTGAAGCCTCGGCAGAGGGAAAACACCACCCAACCACCACACCACCCCACCCCCCAAGCTCTGTCGATGTGGGCTTTGTTTGGAACTTTGTTTGTTTGATGAAAATATGATAATTGGCAAATTTGACAGGGGAATTTTTCTTAAGTGCGTCGACAACACACACTCGCACACACACACACGCATACCTTCTTGGCATCTCTTGATTTTACTGCAAACCCTACTCTAAAAAACACCCCAGTTCGTAAACCCCTTTGCCCGATTTCCCCATCTTCCTTCTTGGTAAAAGTTGACAAGATAAAGTTTTTCGACAGCGCCGTGTGGTATGCAACGAAATTTTTTAATGACAGCCAGGTGGGCGTGTCCTTCATGTGTGTGTTCGTGTGTGTGTGTGTGTATTTGTTATTATGTGATTAAAATTAATTTTATGGTACGGGTTTTAATCGACGCAACTGCCAGCGGCCAAAAGCCAAACTTTGTCTGCACACCAAAACTGTTATATGTGGTATATCGATCTGCAGAACCCCTGAAATTTGCTCAAAGAACTTTAATTGTTGATTAACAACCGCCGGTGGCCTTATTAAAATTGATTAGCCATCTAGAAATCCGATAGCAAGCGCTGGGGGTCTTTTGGGGAATGAGTGAACTTTAACCTATATGCAAATAAATAAGTTCAGAAATCAACATAAGTCTAACTACGAATTTGCGTGTCATTGCGTGATTATTGTCGAACATGTTCATAAACAATAATTTCATCAACATGGGAACACCACACGACCACCACTTCATGTGTCTATTTTATCAATATTTGTGGATGGGCCGACGACGCTGATGATTATTGGCCATAAACAATAGGCCCGAGCCATAGCACATAATTGGCATTAAAAAAGCATCAACAACATGCGTGTATTGCCATGTGGCATGCCGAAAAATGCAAAACAGCCGCCAGCCGGTTAATTCTATTATCAATCAAAGGACCCAGGACCCAGGACCCAGAACCCAGGATCCAGGACATGTGAAAGGGTTTTTCGCATGAGGATTCAAGGGGTGGAAGGGGGCAGCGAAAACTTTGGTATGCGTGTTCGATTTTTCATTAGCATACGGGATACGGGATACGGAATACAGAGACAAGGGAACTTAACCGAACTGAAAGAGCCACCCTTTTTCGAAGAGACAGGAGAGACATGACAAGACGACAAACGACTCAAATTAATTGCATAAAAATCTTATGGGTGCGGTGGTAAGCCAGTGGTCCTGGGTCCTGAGGGGGTGGCTCTTCTAATTGCCAACTGCTTGGCTGGCAGACAAGCGAAGCTCAACACCCAACACCGAACACCCAACACACACCCCGCACACCACCCCTTTAGCCAAATGAAATTTTTCAGCTTTCTTAAATAAACGTAATTAGCGCAAGTCGCGGGGGGGAAACGCACAAATGGATTTTCTTCACTTCACTCCACTCCACTCCACTTTTTTCGAGGGCATGTGTCGTCCTCTAGATTGTGGATGAGTAGTCACGCATGTGGCAACTGTACCCCCGCAATTTGTATTCAATACGAACGCTTACCAAAGGATTTAAAACGAAAATTGATTTGAAACCTACGTTATTTCTCTCAAGTCAAAAACCTTAATGAGTGAAAATAAATTACAACGAAGTTATGCAACGAAATTCAGCGTATGCAAATAAAGCCCAAAAATTGAGGGGTAAAAACTGTCATTTCGATTTTTGGATGTCCACAAATTTTGCGAAAAGCCCGGGCGAAAGAAATATTAAAACAATAAATCAACTTTTTGAATTTTGCAGCACACAGACAGCAGAAATCATTTTCATCCCTTGAGCAGCAGAAACTTTCTGCAACTCCTCTGTGGTTGATGAGGTTGCAAAAGGGGGCGAAGGGGGCGTGGTAAGGGTAAGGGGGGTGCCAGTAAGGTTATTATATGTAGCATCTACTAACAGCAATCAAACAAACTATAACAAATATTTTCGAGAGGGTCTGAGAGGACCACTGCTGTTGGTTTTACCTCCAGTATTGACTGCGAAATTATGAAAATTTACATTTTTCCCGGACCACTCCCAACCAACCAACCATCCAACCAAGCAGAGAGACAAAGAGCTGGACAAAAGACTGGACAGGAGAGTTGTGTTCCCAGGATCGAGCAGATAGCTTGGGTTATAATTTTCCCAAAAATATTGAATGGGAGTGGGTGGGAATGTGGAGCATTAGAGTAGCGAGCGAAAAGCAAACGATTTGTAATTAACAAAATTGCCAAGCAGCCGAAAAGTATCCTCCCCCCTGAATTTTGTTTTACCCTTTGCATAACAATTGACAAAGCAGTCAATATACATGCATGGGGGTTTTTATAAGGGGGATTTCGTGAAGGAAGGAGTTTGGGTTTCGGAAACAACAATAACAAACACTCGAAGGCAAATGACGAAAAACGTCGCACAATTGCCAGCATGAGTTTCGCCTACACAAAGGACAAAAATATCTTACTCTAAAGGAATACATTTACCATTACATTCATAATTAAAAATAGTACAAAAACATATTTTTTAAATTAATTTAATGCAATGATTCGGTTGGCCAATGATCGATTTTGGCTAATTCCTGAAATCAATGAAATCAAATGAGTAAAATTTCTCTTGGTGCACAAGAAGGAAGCATAAAATGCCAAAAGGAATTAAGGTTATGCCTGAGTCTGTCTCTATACATATATATATATATATATATATAAATATATATTCCACATGAGCCAAGGGTTTTTATCTTGGAGTGTGGGTGTGGGTGGGGGGTGGTGGTGAGAGTGTAAAAAAGGGGTTTAATCAGCGAGCAGCAGCATTTCACACACACAGAGACACCAATCTACAAATACAAATTAACAATAAGCAATCAAAGACACACACAACGAAGCTCTTCAAGGCTTGCTTATAAAATAATTCTCTTCTGCCGCTGTTGCTTCGTTCTTTTTCGTTTTTTTTTTTTATTTTTTTTTTTTTTTGTATACGTTTTTAGACCGTCAGCTGCCAATGGCAAAGGCAAAACCGTCAAAGGAATTAAAATTCATTCGGGCATAAAAATTTTAGAATATATATATGACTGACTGACTGGCAGAAGTGGGCTGTGGAGCGATGGATAGAGATAGCGCATATATAAAAAAGGGGTAACTTTTGCCAGCAGCAGTAGAAGCAGCAACATCATTCAGGTTTCAGGTGGGGTGGTTGGGGGTGGTCGCTTTGGGAGGCTGGCTGGGCTGGGGTTGGCTCTGTTGTTAATTTCCAAAAAGCCAAAAGACAAATGAGTAAAAGGCAACTGCCGGGGAAAAGAAGCTTCGTCTCAATGTCGTCAACCGGTTTGTTTTTTTTTTATTTTGCTGGCGCTTCTTGCTGAATTTTATGCGCCACACACACATTGAAAAAATTGTATTTACAAAATAATTATAAATTTAGTTTTTGTTCACAGCTGGATTTTTGCTCTTTACATTTCAGTTTCCTCCCACCATGAACATCTCGAATTGGCTGTGATTTAAGATCACAAAGTGGTTTCTCTCAGTGCACACGTTGCTTTATGTGCAGCTTGTCATTGATTTTTGATTGTTTCAAGTGTTGGCAAAGGAGTAGCTCGCGATGCTTGCAAAAAGGGGTTGGGGTTCGCTGTTCGGTGTTCGGTGGGTTCGGTGGGTTGGCATGGGGCCTTCGGAGTGATAAAAGGAGGCAAGGCATTTCTGCTGTGGGAGGAAGCTGGTTTAAAGTCTGCCAAGTGCACCCCAGAGCTTTGACGCCAAGGCCTTTGTTTTTGTTGTATCGCTGTGTATCGCTGTGTATGTTGCATTTTTGCAACTGGCAATGCCCAAGTTGGCAATTTGAAACAAAAGATAACAAAGAATATGACGAACAAGAGCGCGCGACCAAGGAGCGAAATAATAAAAATGGAGAGGAGCGAGAAATAAAATAATGGCAGAGAGCAGAAACAAAGAACCCAAAAGAGGTCACATGTGGAGGAGTCCCTACAGTGAAACCCCCTTCTTTTCTATTGAGCTCCCTCAATCGAAAATGATTTATCTGAAAGATTTTTGTATCTATGATACATATCTTTCGATAGTAGTCTTAGTTTAGCCTTTGATTGCTCGCCTCAATTCAGTTTGTCTATTCAGCCTGCCAATTAAATTCCCGCTGATGGACAATTTATCAACTTAAAGACCTCAAATCGCAGGTAATTTTCCCAGAATTTTTGCATTATTTGTCAATTGCCAGGGGGCGTTCAAAAGGGGGGGTGGAGAGACTCGAAATATCTGGGTTGGTTGGTTGGTTGGTGTATGGAGGAGCCCTGGCAATTTACAACAATTCAAAGGCATAAATCAAACGTTTTGCAAGTTGAAGTTGGCACGAAAACGTGGTTTGGATTTGGACAGAAGGGGGTTGTCAGTCAAAAAGTCATTCAGTCATTCAGTCATTCGTTCATTCGTTCATTCGCTTATTTACGCATACACGCACACAACGGCAAAGTTATTGAATTGATTCGAAGCGGGTTTTCCGCGGGAGGGGGGAAGGGGGGTTTGGGGGGTTAAAGCTCCCCCTTGGGGGCACGCAACT